TCCTGCTGGCCCTTCACCTCCAGGACGGAGACCTGGCAAGAACTAAGAGCTTGAATGAAACTAATTGAGACAGGCAAGCAGGGGCTCTCTCTGTAACACCAGTCAAGCTCAGATATTGTCAACTGTCACTTGAGGTCCTGGCATCAGATTGGGGTTGAATGGTGAGTGAAGCACCCTGGTTAGCTGGTGTAGGAGACACGAAGGTCTGGTGTGTCTTCGTACCTTCCAATCCCTCAGACTAGTCTGAGAGGTCAGAGCATCCCTGGATATCCCCAGAGAGCCCCGGGTGCTGGGACAACAACCCAGGACAGACAGCAGCCAGCTTGTGGCAGGGGGTGGCACAAAGCAGCTGCTGTCACTGTGGGATCTGCCTGGGTTCCCCTGTAATGCTGAGCGTCCATGTGGGCAAACCAGAGAGAAATCGTTAATGCTTATAATGTTACTTTTCTGCAATCAGCATGCTTAAATGAATCATGCTCTCAAGTGACATTAGCTGTGACCCAGGGCTGCGCTGGCACATGGATGCCCAGGTCACCCAAACGCCGCCTTCCACCACCTCTTTAAATCAAAACCTGCAGAGGAACGAAGCGACCGTATGTTACAGACGCACGCTCTCTCCCTTCCACTGCTGCCTCTCGTCTTCCACAAAATGATCTGCCGGGTGTTTATGTCACCTCCGAACGAGATGAGAAGTCCCCGGCGGGGGCAGGCCCTGCCATTTCTGTTTGTCCTGTGCCACGCACACCTACAAGGCCATATGGATCTGAAATAGAAATTACAACCTCTGCCTGGAGGTTATCGGCAAGGTGACTTTGCTGCTGCGAGACCTTCAGATTAAGCAAAATGAAACATTTTCCTGTGTTTCTGGTAGGCACTCCAACACGCTGGATTCCGGGCAGACGCAAACTCCTCTGAGCCAAATCCGAATTGTACCCCTCTCCTCTCGAGCACCGGCTGACAAGGGCTCAGCCAGGCGTATCGCTCGGCTGCATGAAAGGAGCTCTCTTTCTCAAAGCTAAGTTACTCCAAAGACTTTCTGCTTTATGAGAAAAAGACAAAGTCTAATTCATTGATCTTGATACACAAAACCGTCACGTCACTTCATAGAGCACACACCAACTGCTGAATTTAAGCCCTGCATATTCATAAAAATAAGTTAGCCCATAAATTAAATGTTCCCTTTAGCTAGCACCAGTGTTGATGTGCTATAAGACGCACAAGCCCTCTGATTCATGACTAACCTACCAAAGAAGATAACATTTGCATATGATTATATTATTAAAAAAACAACAACAAAGCCAAATGCTCCGCAATGGAAACGTGATCATTTCAGACAAAAGAGCGCAGTGTGGTCCCATCGGGACAGCGGTCGCCTCGCTCTCCCCGGGTGGGTCTGCCGTTCCCCGAAGGGCAGCGGGGTGCATGCCGGGGACGCAGCGTTCCAGCTCCAGCTCCAGCCTTGCAGCTTGTCCCCATATGCAAGGTACAGAGGGCACAGCCCGAATAATACTGAACTTTGGGACCTTGCCGTGGGGCTGCAACACATTTCAGGCACATTTCCAGCATCACCTAAGCAGTGGCATGGGCACACTGAAGTAACGGGTATCAGTCTACTTTCTGAAAACTCCTTGCACCTGGTTGTAAAGAAGGAGTAGACCTCATTGATGCTCCCAGGCCCACGGACCGCAACTCCACAAGTAACTCCCTGCTGCACACACACATTACTGATGCTAGCTGGCATCCCTGTCCATCACTCAGAGGACAATTTACACTCAGTCTGGGGGCACAGGGTGAGGAATGGCTGTGGAAGGTGGATGCGACACATCCACCGGGACATCAACAGGGAAGGGACCAGGGCTCCCGCAGAGGCATGCCATGGCCCCTGCTGCCTGCTGCGTGGTGTGTCCTGGCTAACAGCAGAGGAAATGCAAATGGATGCTCTTTGGGTGCTGTCAGAGCCCAGGAACAGTGAGTAGATACCATATTTGCATGGCCAGGACTTTAAGCCCTCTTTCAGGTTAGTTTTCCTGTTCCCTTTCTGTCTTTCACAGTGACCCTCATTGCTGGGTGCTAGCCTGGGTAGCTGAGGTGGACCATGGGCTGGCTGGGATGCTCCTGGACAGGCATTAGAGGAGCTGAAGGATGCAAAGGGGTGGGCTTCGACGGCTGCCCATCCAACACCCCAACCAGCTCGAGCAACAAGCCTCCTCATTCCCCCCCCCCTTTTTTTTTTTGAATGCAAAAGCATGATCAATAAGTTGCTGAAAGAGCAAGTTTATCTCTGAATACATAAATTGCAAAAATTGATATGAATAAATCTGCAAGTAACACACTGAGTGTGGCACATTTTATCAAAAAAAAAAAAAAAGCCCTGTGCTGGGTTCCTGCGCTTTGCGGGAGGTGGTGTCATTACACATACCCAGGAACATCTGCAAACCCCCGTCTCCTTTGGTGTGAGCTGAATGGAAGCATGACCTCCTGTTCCTTGCCATGAACCTTGAGTTCACACTCATATTTTACACGTTACAGGAAGCCACAGCTCACCCCAGGGGTGCTGCAAACAGAATCTCGTAAGCCAGATGCAACACTGCTTCTTAAGGCACCTGAAGGAGCTGTATTCTTCATTCAAAAGCTTACATACTAGTAGCTTAAGGTCACTTCAGCTTTTGTAAAGAGTGGGACAAAACCAGGAATGCTTATAGGGCTGGGTTGTCAGCAGGGTAGCAGAGGGATTACAAGGAACCTGTGACTCTGCCTCTTTCTGCCTTTACTGGTAGTTTTTTTGTGTGTGAACAAGTGCCATACAACAGATTGAGGCTGGTATAAAGGCCTGGGACTGTGCAAGAGCACCCCGCTGAGCCTCAGCTGTGCTTGCAATTAGCAATAGGCATGAAATGATTATTGTTGTGGTGGCTGATGGCAATCTGAAGTGACAAGTTTTATGGGGGAAGTTGTAGTAGGGATGTTCAGCAAGTTTCTGCAAACCATTAATCGAAGGCTGCAGCACAGTTTAGTCAAAGCTATTTTATGTCATTCCAAAGGTCTCACAGGGATGCTGAAAGAATATTTTTCTGCTCTCAGTGCCTTGGAATGGAGTTTTTCTAGGTCAGGGATTCTTTACTGCCCTATTTAGTGTCAAAAATACCCATTTGCCTCAAATTAGCAGAAAGCTTGTAGTTAAGGGCTAGAGATTAGGCATACAAAATTACTCAGCAGGTGACTGCTGGGTGG